TCCCCACTGTTCCCACCATTGTCCTCACCATTGTCCCCACCACTACCGTCCCCACCACTGTCCCACTGTCCCCACCACTGTCCCGCAGCCCCCCCACCACTGTCCCCACCACCACCGTCCCCACCACTGTCCGCACCCCCCCTCGGTTTTCGAGAGGGGGGGGGGGTTCGAGCCGGTAGTGGCCCCCTCCCGGTTTTCGAGTTCGAGGGGGAAGGGGGGTTCGAACCGGTAGTGACCCCCCCCCTTTTCATGATGAACTGGGGGGGGGGGAGGGGTTTGAACCGGTAGTGACCCCCCCCGGTTTTCCGGAGGGGGGGGGGGGAAGGGGTTCGAACCGGTAGTGACCCCCCCCGGTTTTCCGCCAGCAGCGGTAGAACACGCTCTTTCCCATGTTTGAACCGTCCTCCTGTAGAGGAGCGTGCCCCACTCAATGGTAAGCCAGACAGCAAGAAGGAACCCGACAACAAAAGGAACATGTCGATGCCTGCAGGAGAAGGGAACTGGCTTCCGGCGCGCAGCCGGCGGCAGGGGCACCCAGAGCGCAGGGGGGGGGGCACCACGAGCACTATGCGGCATCCTCGAAGGACTTCGTCTGTCCCGTCGTGGCCCTGTCCGCGTCGACTCCGCGTCGAATACATGTCGGACTCGTCGGGTCCGTGTCGAGTCCGTGTCGACTCCGTGTCGAATCCACGCCCAGTCCGTGCCGAGTCCACATCGAGCCCGCGTCGGGCACAAAAAACGACACCCATGTTTGGGGGACAGGCGAGGTCCCCCGAGGATCAGAAGACGAGAAAACGCCATAGACATCAACTTGTTGCGCTCCTCGCGGATTTCTTGGATCTGCGCTGGACCCCCCCCCCCCCCTGGCGCACGGAGCGCAACAAGGGCGGCGCCGGAGGCGCCGCCGGGGGGGGCCAAAGCGGATCCAAGAAATCTGGGCGGAGCGCCAAAAGTTTGTGTTTACGTCAGGTTCGTGTCGTGCCGACTTCGGCGTTGGTGTCTGACACCGCGGGGATCGTTCAACCTTGAAGGATCGGCCGTTTCCGAAGCGTCCAAATCGTTCCACATCGCACGATTTTGGGTCGCCCGCGCGTTCAAGGTTGCACGCCGCTGGCGGGGTCGCCGCTGCTCGACACGACACGAGCCTGTGTTTATGGCGTCTGTCTTCTTCGAAAGATGCAACGCAACGAGCAGACACCGCCACCACGAGGCAGACCCAAACATCCATCTGGCCACCGCTCGGACGTCGGTTTTTCGGTTTGGTGCGCGGCTTTCTCAGGATGTCGGTTGGTGCGCCCGGCCATCCCTGTTCTTCATGTCGGTTTCGTGCGCGGCTTTTTCGCAGGATGATCCAGGATACTCCTTCGTAATCCCCGCCGAGAAAGAAGTGCACACCTCCGAGCGACACCAAGCCTTGTGGTTCTCCCATCGTACTGAAGGACCACATCCCAGAAATACTTTCGAGCACCCAGAACAGTGTCGAAAGAGTGACGAAAGAGTGTCGAAACAGCGTCGATCGAGTGTCTGCCAGGGCCCGACACGTGAAAAAGTTTTGGGGTACTGCCTGGCGCTTGCAAGCAAGGCTACAGTAGGTTTAGGGGAACAAAAAGTGGCATAAACATAAAAACTCGGAGGTCCGCGCGGATTTTTCGGATCGGCGCTGGGGTCCCCCGGCGGCGCCTCCGGCACCGCCCCTGGCGCGCTCCGCGCGCCAGGGAGGGGGGTCCAGCGCCGATCCGAGAAATCCGTGCGGACCGCCGAGTTTTCATGTTTATGCCACTTTTTGTTCCCCTAGCAGGGGCGAAGCGTCTTGGCCCAACGGCAAAAAGCACGTATGCCTCGATGTAGTGGTTGGATGTTTTTTCGCGTCTGATCCAGGCCTTCTGCGAGCAGCGACTTCGCGAGTAGTCGCTCGGCGGCGACATTCGAACCCTACTCTCGCCGATCAATGAGCACTGGCGAAGCGTCTGGTTTTGCCTAAAAAGGCCCACCACAGAATGGTATTAGAAAACCTTTCTGGTGGTCTGCACGAAACCACGAAACGTTCTTAGAACATTTCTGACTGTGTTTTTTGTCCCCCGAAAGCTGGAACATCATGTTGGACGCCCGAAATGGGTACGGAAATAATGGGTACAATACCCAACAACAAATGCTGTCCCAAACCAACAGCGGCTGCTGCTGGGCAGGCGGCCTTCTGTCTCGAACGGACACAGGCCGCGGCGGCGCGGACAGCGAGTCCTGTTCAAAATGGACGGGAGCTGCTATTGGACATCGTACCCATTCTTTCAGTGCCCATCTCGGGCGTCCAGAATCAGAAAGCGTCGATGCCTGCAGGAGAAGGGAAGATGAGGAGGAGGGGGGAGGAGGAGGGGGGGGAGGGGAGGGGGGAGGGAGAGGGAGGAGGAGGAGGGAGGAGGAGGAGGGAGTAGGGAGGAGGGGGAGGGAGGAGGAGGGGAGGAGAAGGAGGAGGAGGAGGAGGAGGAGGAGGTGGAGGAGGAGGGAGGAGGAGGAGGAGAGGGGAGGAGAGGGGAAGACATCATAAACCAAGCCAGCGACACGATGCTTCACGTGCGCGGCCCCGGGGGCCCGGGGGTCCCGAACCCATCCCCGGCGCCCCGGCTGCTTCGCGCTGTGGCGCCGTGCCGGCCGGCCCCCGGGGCAGGGGAGGCCGAGCTCGATCCCCCCTCCCTCCTCCTCGTCCCCCTCCTCCCTCCCTCCCTCCCTCCCTCCTCCCCTCCCTCATCCCCCTCCTCCTCCTCCCTCCTCCCTTGTCCCTCCTCCCTCCCTCCCTCCTCCCTCCTCCTCGTCCCCCTGCTCCTCTTCCTCCTTCTCCTCCTCCTCCGCCTCTTTCTCCTCCCTCCTCCCTCCTCCTCCTCCCGGACGGACCAAGAGGGCTACGAGGTGCCGAAAGATCGCTCCAAGACGACCAAGATTGCATCCAGACGGCCCAAGAGGCCTCCAAGACGCCCCAAGAAGCCACAAAGAGACGTCCCAAGAGGCCCTCCGATAGCAAAAATCGTCTCCTTTCCTTGGCCACATGTTTTTGTAGCACATTCCCACAACGGCCCGAGAAGCCTTCAAGATCGACCCAAGATAGTCCAGGAGGCCCCCAAGAGGGCTCCAAGACGGCCCAAGAGGGCCCCAAGACGGCCCCTGGAGCCTCCAGGAGGGCCACAGGACAGCCCCAGGAGGAGGCCCAGAGGGGAAACCCGAATGGACATTTCGAGCACGCGGCCCCGGACAAACCTGAGGAGGCGCCAAGAGGCCCACAAGAGGCTACCACGAGGCCCCCGAGAGGTCCCAAAGAGGCCCCTGGGGCCTCAACACGGCCCCCTAGGAGGCCTCAGAAACGCTGCCAGGAGGGCCGAGAGAAGCCCAAGAGCAGAGCCGCGATCCGTCAACCGCTCCCGACGAAATCCCAAGAAGCTGAAACCCTAGATTCTTCAGAAGTCGCGCACATCCCTCCAATTCCGTGTTGCACTCTTACTCCCGCCCCCAGGGGTCGGCGGTGCGGCGTCAGCCAATGAATCAACCAAGACCACAGAACCAATGAACCACGAACATACACCGATAAACCAATACCAAAGAATCAAGGAACCCCAAGAAGAGCAGAAATAAACCAAAGCCAAGGAACCACGGAACCAAGGATTCAAGACCAAGGAACCCAGGGAAGGCCGGCGCAGGCCTGCATCCACCGGTCCTGAAAAAATAAAGGAGAGCATCTTAGGCAAAGCCGAATTGGTGAATGAGCACATTGAAAGATCTGCGGTACTCTTGAACGCTTCTCCAAACAGCGTCGGCCCACGTCAATTTTTCACGGAATGGAAAAGGGCTCCCCAGGGAGGCCGCAAAGTCTTGTCGAGATCGATGTTTCCCTCCGCTCCGCTGGACCTCCCAGGAACCAACGAACATGGCAACTGTTCTGGGTCCGCATGTCACGCCGCTCCGCCTGACCTCCCAGGGTAGCGAAACGTGCGCGGGGTGTGCGAACATGAACGCGGCGGTGCCATGCTGATCATGCCACTGGGGCTCTCGGTGGAGCTCCCTATGTGACCACGGCGAGACGTGTGAAGGGTGTGCCGACACGGGCGCGTCGGCTCCATGCGGACCATGCCCCTGGGGCCGCAGTGGAGCTCCCTATATGGCCACGACACGTGTGAGGGGTGCGCCGACATGCGCGCGGGCGCCATGTGAACCCTGGCACTGGAGCCCTCGTGGGAGCTCCCCGTGGGGCCACGAGGCGCGTGAGAGTATGTCGAAATGGGCTGCGGGACTGTATGCGGGCACTGCCACTGGAGCCCTCGGTGGAGCTCCCCGTGGGACCTGGGGCCACGACGAGTGCATTGAGAAACGGTGATGGGAACATAATGATGGCGATGATCAGGATGAGGATGCGGATGCGCATAAGGTAGGGGAGAAGGCGAATGATAATGTGATAATGGCAATCATGACGAGGGAGGCAGGGATGGGAAGAGGGTGGAGAGGGAGGTGAGGTGTGAGACTCGGAGCGCTGCGCATTCAAAACGGGGACCCAACACAAGATGGTTGAGACAAAAACACTGAATGTCATTCAACACCTCCAGCAACTTCCAGCATGTCAAAAAAAGTCCAGCGCCGTATCCAGCAATTGGCGCGGCGTCAAACGCATCCCGAAATAGAGCTCGTAATCCTGAGCAACTCTCCGACAGTCAAGGGGCCTACACAAGGCCGCTGGACGCCGAGGCTCGTGCAACACCGGCCGCCACGATTTTGTTCGCGTCGCCAGAGGTTCAGGGAGGCTAGGGGAACAAAAAGTGGCATAAACATAGAAACTCGGAGGTCCACGCGGATTTCTCGGATCGGCGCTGGGGCCCCCCGGCGGCGCCTCCGGCGCCGCCCCTGGCGCGCTCCGCGCGCCAGGGAGGGGGGTCCAGCGCCGATCCGAGGAATCGCGCGGACGCCGAGTTTTTATGTTTATGTCACTTTTTGTTCCCTAGAGGCGCCCCCGCCCCAGAGGCGGCCCCGCTGTCGAGGCTCGCCAGCAAGAGTCGCCCTCTCGTCCTCGAGCTGCTCCTTCTTCGCCTGCAGCCCGGAGGAGGAGGGAGGAGGGAGGAGGAGGAGGAGGAGAGGAGGAGGAGGGAGAGAGGAAGGAGGAGGAGATAAGGAGGAGGAGGAGGATAAGGGGAGGAGGAGGAGGAGGAGGACGAGGAGCAGGAGGAGCGAGGAGGGAGGAGGAGGAAGGAGGGAGGAGGAGGCCGCCCTCCTCTCCTCATCCTCCTCCGCCTCCTCCTCCTCCTCCTCCTCCTCCTCGAGGCCGTCCCTCCGCCGTCCTCCCGCCCTGCTCCCTTTTGTGCCTGCACCACCTCGCTGCCGGTCCTCCTGCTGCTGCTGCTGCTGCGCTCGCGCCACGCGATGGCCATGTCGCAGTGCCCGCAGCGCCCGCGCGTCGAGCTCGGGGGAGGAAAACCTCCTTGCACAGAGCAGCACCAACGTCGTCCTCCTCCTCCTCCTCCTCCTGCTCCTCCTCCTCCTCCTCCTCCTCTTCCTCCTCCCCCTCCCGCACACTGGCTCCCATCTCCGAGGTTCCCAGGAAGGGGCCCCGTGGACACCGCCTTCCCGCGGCTCGCCAGCACGCTCTATCATGCACACGGCCTGATCCGCCTCGGGTGCTGTCTGCCTCCTTAGAGGCCTCCCAGATGGCGTCCGAGTAGATGGGGTCGGAGGATTGCATCGCATCGCCGATGGATCGCCGATGTATCGACGGTGCATCGGCGACGCCGGCGCGGAGAAGGTCGGGGTCCACATCGGGTTGTATCCCCGCTGCATCGGCGATGCGGCGCGATCAACCGATCCCATCTACTCGGACCCCATTTCGGAGGCCTACACTCCTGCATTCGCCTGCAGGTGAACAGATCCCTCCATTCGTTGAGCAGGGACCGACCGTCCTGGCATTCCTACAGGCCTGCTGCGGCATTCTCGTAGAACCCAACCTTGTTCCAAGAACGACGCAATGTTCTTAGAACATATGCACCCGGTGTGTCAAAGCAAAACGGCCTCGGCCAGAAATGCTACGAGAACACTCTGTGCAGACCGCGAACAGTTCTCAGAACACTCTCTTTCTCGGGAGCGGCAAAGAGGGGGGTGTGCAAAAGGGGGGGGTGCAAATCATGACCGGCGGCACGTGCGCTGCCCAGCGGGGGGGCCAGGGACGTAATGAAATAAGAAGGGGCGCCATGAAATCTGGGGAGATACCATGGCCCCCGCCATGACATCCCCCCCCCCCCCCCTAAGCATCACCCCCCGCTTTTCCGCCCCCGACTGTTTCGTGGGCCGATGCGCACGCCGGGACGCTTCGCCACTGCCCGACCTCCGTGTGAGCTCCTGCCTTCCGCAGACGCCGGACGACCGGGGCTCCCACGGCGCCGACCGCCGCCTGCGCGGGCCTGGCCGTGCGGGCGGTTCGGGAGACTCTCCATGGGGGGGGATCCCATGGGGGGGCAGGAGGGGATCCCCCCCATGGGATCTCCTCCTGCCCCCCCATGATCCCCAGGGGATCCTATGGGATCCCCCCCCTGGGATCCTATCCCCCCATGGGATCCCCCCCCCATGAAGAGTCTCCCGAGCGGTGCGCCCCCACCCGAAGGCCGGCGGCGGGCGGCAGCACGCCGGCTGCGCGGCGCGGGAGGCCCGGGCAGCGGCTGAGGGGGGAGCGCCCGCCGGCGGGCTCGAGCAGGGGCCGGGTGCTGGTCGAGGGGCGCGGGCCCCCGCCATCGCTGGGACGTTCATGCCCCGTGCATGATGTGCTGGTTTCGAGCGAAGCTTTCTTCTCGGCTCGAGGATCCAGGATGCTCCTCGAAGGCCCTCGCCGAGGGACAACTCACGCATCCGAGCGATGCGAAGACAAGGGCCGGGTGCTGGTCGAGAGGCGCAGGACGGCGGGCGCCGCCAGCCTGGAACAGCGCCCTCGTGGATTCCTGTGAGATCGGCAAGGCCGAGGCCAGGGGGGGTCGACGGAAGCGCTGGCGATGGCAAAGACTCGCTCGCAGAGCTGCTGTCGGCCATCGGCCAGATCGGAGAGACCTAAGGATCCTGCCTCGGCGGGTGTCAAAGCCGAGATGGTGGCAGAGCAGAAGCGGCTGCGGGCGAAGATCCCTCTCGGACAAGCCGATCGGCGCCAGGCTGCACGTGTTCAATTGAAATTGGTGCTCACCAGACAAATCCAGCGATGGCGGCGCGAGGTAAGCTCCACGTACACCGGTGGCGGCGAGCTTGCCTGGCATGGGTGGCATCAACATTGCGGGACTATCCGCCTTTAGCCAGGAACAACCTGCAAAAGAGGCCGCCCTGCGGGCAACCGTCAAGCGGCTCGGCGAGGCCTGCGGCAAGCACGCCAGGCGATGGGCCTATATTCCACCACCACCACCATGAGTTGGAGGGGGAGGGGGTCCTCCTCCTGTTCCTCCTCCTCCTCCTCCGCCTCCTCCTCCTCCCCATCCGTCCTCTTCTTCCTCCTCCTCCTCCTCCTCCTCCTCCTCCTCCTCCCCATCCATCCTCTTCCTCCTCCTCCTCCTCCTCCTCCTCCTCGTCCTCCTCCTCTCCCCCTCCAGCGTATGGTGCTGGTGGCGGATGGATAACAGGCCCGTCAGGGCGGGCCACGGAGCCCGCAGAACTCTGAACCGCTGAACTTCGTGCTGTGGCACGCGACGGTGATGGTCGGGGAGACGTAAGACCCGGGTACGGGGGACTCGGAAATCCCCGACGAGGTCGTCAAAAAAATGACGAGGCCGAGCCTGCATTTTGACGAGGCCTCCCGCTGCAGACATCCCACGAAACTCCTCCTCGTCAAAATCCGAGGCGCGGTCGTCAAAAAACGATGGCGAACCCGAGTCCCGGCAAACCCGGGTCTTACGCTCCCCCAATTCGTGCTGTGGCACGCGACGGTGATGGGCGCGTGCGCGCGGGGGGCGGCCTCGACAGCCTCGGGAGCACGGGCCAGAGGTGAACGCCGCCGCGCACCTCGTTCACGGAAGGCACGACGAGGAGGAGGACGAGGAGGAGGAGGAGGAGGAGGAAGGGGAGGAGGAGAACGAGGAGGAGGAGGAGGAGGAGGAGGAGGAGGAGGAGGAGGAGGGCGAGGATCCTCCTCCTCGTCCACTGCCAAACGCGACGACAAAGACGCGCAACATTCTGACACAGAGAGCTAGCGCATGGGCCGACGCCCGGGGTGTGGCCAACGCCGTCGTCCCACCAAGGGAAGGTCCGGACCCGGCCATGCAGGGAGACGCCGTCGGAAGGGAGCCGAGCCCGTAGACCCTGCCATCGGTAGGCGTGTCGCCAGGACTCCTGCATACTAGTGCACCCCCTGGCCGTGAGGCTGGACGCTTCAGACCCTCCCCACATGGCCACGTTCGCTACGTGGACACCGAATTGCCACGTAGGGCTCGACCTGCTGGGAAAAGCACCGCCTCAGAACGTAGTCCAGATTTCATAGCAAATGCGGGGGTCACAATCCTCACAGACGAGCCAATTTGACCCCCGCACAGACCAGCCATGCAAAGGCGGCCGCTTGCCTAAGACCACCCGAATCCGTCAAGACAGCTCAAATCAGACTCCCCCCAAGTCAGACCCCCAACTTATCATGCAATCTAGAGTAATCGTGATGGCAGCGATCATACAACTAGTGGTTCCCGAGTTCGGTCTGGGGTCCAAGGCCATGTGACGGCGAACGCGTCTTACTGTGGGCCACTGCTGGAGCTGCTCGGAGTTTCAGGATATAGTTCACACGTTTCCTTGAGTTCAGGAACCCCATACGGAGTGAAATTCGCTGGTGTGCAGAATCGTAGGGCAAGGAAAGGGATGGATGACCTTTGGTCGGCTGCTGGCCCGTCAGGGCGTGGAGGCAGAAGGGACGAAGTAGCTATGCTCGCCCCTCAGCAAGAGGAGGAGGAATTCGAGGGGCAGCAAAGGGGGGACGGAGGATAGAGGAAACTGCATCAGCAATCACATAGAGCTCTCGCGCCCCAAAGCACGGTAAGGCACCAGGTCGCAAGAACCTCGCTCAGCGGACGAGAACAAACCTCTGGCATGCAGAACACACTCGGCCTACAGTTTCTCTCCTCCGGCGTCCAAACACAAATCTCGCTCGTGCCAATTCGATCCGAAACTGCCTGGAGGACCCGCCACGGGGGAACCGCCACGCAGACCCGCCGCGGGACCCTGGCACACCCTCGGCACAGCGGAAACCGAACGCGCAGCACCCCACAACTGCGGACCAGAGCTGTGGGGTCGGGGCGTGCCACACTCAGGCGTGGCCCCCGAAATGGGGGCCCCGCGTGACCCCGACCAACGCTCTGACTTCATGTTCCCGCTGCTGCTCCGCTCGCCCCTGCTCCTCCCTTCGTCCACCACCTCGTCCATCCCTCCCCCCGACCCCTCCGCCGCCGCTGGCCCTCCCCCGACCTCTCCACCTCCACCTCCTCCTCCCGCCTGCTCCCTTCGGTCATTTCCCGTGTTTCGGTGTCCCTCCTCCTCCTCCTCCTCCACCTCCTCCTCCTCCTCCAATTCCTCCTCCTCCTCCTCCTCCTCCTCCTCGGCTCTGCATCCTCCCTCTATTTCTCGTCCACGCCAAAGAGCCAAAGAGCGCAAGTCGTGGAAATGGAGACGACGGGGAGGACGGCGATGACGACGACGACGACGATGACGACGACAAGGACCAGGACCAAGACCAGGAAGACAACGGCTCCACCCACGTTATGTTGCATCCTCGGGGGATCATGTCTGTCCCGTCGCGGCCCTATCCGCGTCGAATCCATGTCGAATTCTTGTCGGATCCGTGTCGGACTCGTCGAATCCGCGTCGAATCCACGCCAATTCCGCGTCGAATCCGCATCGAGCCCGCGTCGGGCACAAGACAAGCCACCAATTTTGGAGACACGCGAGGCCCCCCGAAGATGCAACGCAACCCACGCCACATTCTTGCCTCGGTCTTCGCGGTCTCCTCGTCGCAGAAAGCATGCTCCTCGGCCTCCCGCTCGGCCTCCTTTTGCGCGCGCGCGAGGAACAGCGGGGGGCGCCATCGACGAGACACCGGGCGGCCGCTGCAAGGGGTTGCCCACTCCTCCTCCTCCTGCTGCTCCTCCTCCTGCTCCTCTTCCTCCTCCTTTCCTCCTGCTCCTCCTCCTCCTGCTCCTCTTCCCGCTCCTCCTGCTCCTGCTCCTCCTGCTCCTCTTCCTACTCCTCTTCCTGTTCCTCCTCCTCCTCCTCCTCCTATTCCTCCATTTCCATCTGCTCCTCCTCCTCCTCCTTCCCTTGGTCCTCCTCCTCCTCCTCCTCATCCTCCTCCTCTTCCTGCTCCTCCCAATGTTCGTAATTGTCCTCCTCCTCCTTTTCCTCCTCCTCGTCCTCCTCCTCCTCCTCCTCCTCCCTCCTCCCCTCCTCCCTCCTGTTCCTCCTTTCCCTCCTCCTCCTCCTCGTCTCCCTCCTCGTCCTCGTCCTCCTCCTCCTCCTCCTTCTCCTCCTCCTCCTCCTCCCCCTTCTCCTCCTCTCCTGCTCCCCCTCCTCCTCCTCCTCCTCCTCCTGCTCCTCCATTTCTTACTCCTCCTCCTTTGGTCATCCTCTCTTCCTCCTCCATGTCCTCCGTCTCCTCCTTCTCCTCCTCCTGCTCCTCCTCCTCCTCTTTGTTTCTCCTCCTCCATCTCCTCCTTTTCCTGCTCCCGCTCCCCCTCCTCCTCCTCCTCCTCCACCACCTCCTCGTCTTTTTCCTCCTCCTCCTCCTCCTCTCCTCCTCCTCCTTCCCCTCGCTTCCTCCTCCTCCTCCTCCTCCTCCTCCGCCTCATCCTCCTCCTCCTCCCTCTCGGATTCGTACTGTTTGGAATGGCACAACAACTCGTGGAGTACCAATATTATTCTTCTTAGTACCAGTATTGAAATGGCGCAATATTATTCTTCTTAGTTTGATTACCAATAGTATTTTAATATGTATTACTCTTAGTATTACTAGTATTCGCATTCGTGTTATTAGTCGAATGATTCTTTATCGTACTCGAACTATTACCCTTAGTATTAGAATGATAAGTCGTACCTTCATTATCATTCGTATTATGCTGTTTCTGCTGAGTGATGTTCGTATTCACATTGTTAGTACTATTGGTATGATAGTAATGATATTATTCCTCGTTGTCCTCTCCCTCCTCCTCTTCTTCCTCCTCCTCCTCGTCCTCCTCCTCCTCCTCCTCCTCACCCTCGCCCTTTTCCTCCTCCTCCTCCTCATCCTCCTCCTCCTCCTCATCCTCCTCCTCCTCCTCCTCCTATTTCTCCCCCTCGTGGTCATCGGGCGACATCTTTGCACCCCCCCCTTCCTCCTCGTCGCCACCGTGGTCGTCGTCCTCCACCTCCACGTCCCTCATCGGCAACGACAGCGTCGACCCCGCGCAAAAACTCCTGGGTCGGACCCTATGAGTGATTTCGGGGGCGATCGCACGGGAGCCGACCCGCGAATAACATAGGCGACGCGGTCCTTGACGGGGCGCCCAGAGACACATGAAACAATAAACGCAACTCCCGGGAATTCCAGGTATTTCCGAATGTTCTAGATGTTCGCCTTTCCCCCACCCCCAGAACTTTCCCAGATATCTCAAGGCATCGACGATCATCGATGTCTGCGTCCATTTGTCTCAAGTCGGGGCGTTGACCTCAGGAACCCTAAATAAGGAACGAGGCCCCTTTTTACTATAAGTTGAACTTCGATTTCCCATCGAAAACATAAGGAACATCTGAGGCAAGCTGTGAAACAATGAAGGAACACGGAACCCCTCCCCAACGAAAAGGGTCCTTCTCCAGGGACCCGACTGTACTCCCGAACGCTGCCCGTCACTCCGCCCGCTCGCCAGCTGCGGGCGCTGCTGCCGCCGCTGGCCGCCAGCCGCGGCCCGCAAACGCGGGCGCACGCAGGCCGCGCCGCGGATCCGAGCGCAGGGTGGGCGGGCCGCGGGTCGGTGGCCGGGGTGCGGGCTGGTGGGCGGGGCGCGTGCGGGTCGGCGGGAGGGGCCTCCTCCTCCTCCTCCTCCTCCTCCTCCTCCTCCTCCTCCTCTTCCTCCGCCTCCTCCTCCTCCGCTCTCTAGGTCTCCGGCCTTGCCCTCCCCATGTTCGTCGTCCTCCTCGCCCTCCTCCCCCTCGCCCTCGTCGAATAATCCAGCTCTGCGCAGCTCAGGTCGGTCAGTAATCCGCCCGAATAAAAGAGAACTCCCGCCTCGAACATCAACGGGTCGAACCTTCCTTGAGCCGAGAACCCTGGTCGCCGATTGGACACGAGAAAAGATGGAGCCGCCTCGAACATCAACTGGTCGATGCGTCTTCCTTGAGACACTGAGATACGCTGGGCGACCCGGGGCGCTGAAAGATCTGGGATCTGAGCGCGGTGGAAGGGCCTGGGGGCCCAAATATTTTACCCGGGGCTCTTAGGTAGTCACCCCTTTTCATAACCTTCCCAGGGCCTTCAGCGATAAAGCGGCGGGCCGGCACAGTCCTCGAAGCTCGGCAGCTCCCGCAATGCACTGGGCACCACATTTCCCGCTGAAAATCGCAGGGCCCCCCTGACCGATCGATCGCGGCTGGCCAGGGCGAGCGAGGGCCATCAGTCCTGCCTGATTTGGCGACAAGGCCCCTGAGAGAAGGACACCAGTCAACGCGCTCTGACTGCTTCAACGGGCGGACCCCAGTGCGACGACGAACCTTGCGCCCCCACCCCCCGCCCACCCAGACAGGGCAACTGGGCCTCGGAGGGGGGCAGGCGAAGCTGTGGCTCCAGCATCCCCGGGAAGAAAGCAGTGCGAATCCTTCCACGGGGGCCGGGGGGCAAGCACCCGGCGCGGAGTCGTGGCGACGCGCCCATGCAACTCACGGGCTCTGGCGAAGGTCTTCAAATCAGCAGCGCACATAGTGTTCGCTCGCGCAGTTGTCTTCGCAGGGTGATCAGCGAGGCGGCCCCCGCGGGCGCGCGGCATAATTACCTGCGGCGTCTGCAGCCGAGGCCTCGTCGCGGCGGGCCTCGGCATTCGGGCCGACATATGGAGGTCGACCAGCAATCCGCCAGTGTCAAAGGCGCGACGACGCGTGAATCTTGGCGGCGACAGAACACGGGCACGCACGACGTGCGCTCGACTGTCCGAGCGCAGGACGGCGGACAGGGAGGTGACCGATATTGGGGCGGGGGCTCGCTCGGAACCCCCGATATCCTTCGATCGCGCGGGCCGCGTGGCGCTCTGCCGCGGACGCGGCCTGCGGCGCCCCATCTGGGACAGGTCCAGGAATTCCCTTCAGGAGCTGCCCGATGCGTCCACAACCACTGCAGCCAATCCTGCTCTCGCGACCCCTGGAATGGCCCGTCGCCGTGGTGTCGCTCCGCCCTGCAAGCCAACATCTGCTCGCGCGTTCCATCCCCGTCGATCGAGTCTACCACGAGCTCCCCCACGGGCTCGCCGAGCGCTGGGGGCCGTCCGTGCGGAGAAGAAGAGGGGGTCAGCAAGCCCCGCGCGAAAGGCCACGGCTTGGATTCTCTCATATTGGCCTTCCTCTCTCGGCCGCCAACCCGTCGCATTCCCGAGCTGGATGGAGAACCGCGCCAAGCTTTGCCGCGCCCAGGGCACGCCCCGCTGGCCTGAAAAACCGACGCCCTGAAGTCCGGCCGCTAAGGCACCAGCCAATAGACATCTGCTGGAGCTCTGGGGCAATTCTGCTGGCCAGCAACCTGCGAGCCCCGCGGGCCCGCGGCCCGCGGTCGCAGGTCTCCTGGGGCCTCGGCGCAGCGGACACGCGAGGGGCCTGAACATGGCAGACCGCAACACATGTCCCCTTGCACCAGCAACGATGGCTTTGCTCACGTGCTTAGACGGGGTCGCCGCCAGACGACGAAGAGCCCCATCGGCCCCCATGAAGACTGCCAGGGAAATGGCCCTCCAACCTGCTCCCCTCCTCGCCCAGAGATGCACGTCCGCGCGTGGCCCGCTCGCCTTCCGCAGCGAGGAGGCGCTCGCGGGATGCTCCCTGAAACTGCCCGACGTAGCGCGCGGTGCCCCGGGCCGCTCCGAGGCAATAAGACCGCCCCCCTGTTCGAGATCACGATCAGCGGCTCGCCGCCGCCCCCGCCCGCACCTCTGAGGGGCGCCATCTGCGAAGAGACCCTGCCCAACATCAAGAACGCATCCAAGGAATCCCAATACCTTCGCCCCAGACCTCAAGAGGGGGCAAGATCTCGGACGGCGCGCGACACAGGGCCTCCCCATCAGCCCATGCATCGCTGAAGCCTGGACCCCCGAGAAATAGACCCTCGCTTTGCAATGTCTGGGCCCTCTCCTCCCAATGTCTCTTGACCGGTGGCCCGATGGCAAAACGTCCCTCGCGTCGAACCCTTCCGCTGCCCATCTGCGCACGATGTTTCACTGGGGCAGAATCGACTTGGGGGCGCTGGGGGGCGCCCTCGGGCCCGCCCGCCAATTCTCCGAGCGCTGCCTCGCGCGTGTCAACAACAAGGGCTCCTAAGTTCGCGCTTCGCGCTGCGCGAAGCGCGAATAACTTCGCGCTCTCGCGCCGCCCTCCCAAAGGGAGAAGAGGAGGACGAGGAGGAGGGGGAGGAGGAAGGAGGACCGCGAAGCGCGAATAACTTCGCGCCCTCGGGGGAGCCCTTGCAACAAGGCCCTCGCAAGGGCCAGGGGCCGTCAGCTTGGCAAGATCCAGCGGGCCGCGCGCGTGCTCGCGCGAAAGAACAATCCGGGCGCGGCGGCGCCGGCCCCGAAGTCGCCAATGTTCAGGGGGACGTAAGACCTGGGTACGGGGGACTCGGAAATCCCCGACGAGGTCGTCAAAAAAATGACGAGGCCGAGCCTGCATTTTGACGAGGCCTCCCGCTGCAGACATCCCACGAAACTCCTCCTCGTCAAAATCCGAGGCGCGGTCGTCAAAAAACGATGGCGAACCCGAGTCCTGGCAAACCCGGGTCTTACGCTCCCCCGAAATGTGGA